GTTAGGATGTTAAAGTCGTTATGCATAGTGTTATTCGAAATATACCAAGGTGCGTTGACAATTTTTCGTAGAATTTTTTATTGTATTGTTTGTATTTTGTTTATATGGGCTTGTTTTGCCGAAGCCCAAAGTTCTGCTCCGTATGTCCAAATTGGTCAGAGTATGGTGTAGTAGATCAGTCGCTTGTTTCGTAAGTTAAGTGAAGATCTGCTGTACAGAAGATGTAAGAGTTGGTTATATCGTCTAGTCAGTTCTTGTCTTTTTGATTTATTACGTATGTTCCAGGTCTTTTGTCTATGTATAGTCAGAGGTACCGTACATAGTCTTTTGAAGGAAACTGGGTTATTGTCAATCGTTATGGGTGGACATAAGACTTTCCTAAGAGAGGCAGTCACGTGGATGGATTTGTTACAGTTAATTTTCCATTTTTCGAACCAGTTTGGAAGATCATAGAGGTGATTTTGAAGCGCAATTGAAGCGATAGTAGGATTTTTGTGGGAAGTAAGAATTGCAGTGTCGTCAGCGAAGCAATAGATGGTGGTAATAGGTTGCTCAGGGATAGTAGAGGTGAATAGCGAATAGAGAATTGGACTTAAGGGGCTAACTTGAGGTACGCCAATGTGTTGAGGGAAGAAAGAGAATTAAGAAGAATCTACGGAAACATAGAAAAACCTGTTAAGAAAGAAGGATTGAAGAATTATGAAGTAAGTAGAAGGTAAGTGCGGCTTTAATTTCCATGATAGGTCATTGTGCCAGGCACTATCAAATGCTTTCTATATATCAAGGAAGAACGCAGATCAATATTCCTTTATCACAAAAGCAACAGAGATATCGTATACTATCCAGTGGAACTGTTGCACGTTGATTTTTTTAAAGGTACAGAAACAAAAATTCGAAATATGCAAGTGAAGTCTCAGGAAATGGATGGAAGTTAAGATCTTCACGGGAGTAGTTATATGCAACTTGAGTTGGTTAAGACACCAAACACTCGTTAAGTCCAAAATAAAACGATTTAAACAAAATCATTTTATGTTACTGGGAAAGTAAAAAAAAAAAAAAATAGATAAACTTCGCAAAACGATGTTTTATTTTATAAAATTTACGACTAAAATAATTTCAATGTATTTAGGGAATTAATTTTAAGCTGCTTATTGATGCATACTTTTAGTAGTTTTTAAGATGTCATCATTCTATCAGTTAGGCAATTTTCTTCTTGTGTGTCTAAGTAAATAAAAATAAAAATTATAACAAAAAATAAGAGTATTACAAATTTAAAAAAGGAAAAATAATAAGAGGAGTAATAGATGGAGCCATTTCAATCTAAAATTATTACAGTTAAGTTTTGATGGTTGTATTATGTTGTTCAGTATGTTTTGATAGATTTTACCGTACCTTAATTTTTTTATTTGAATCTATTACTTTCTTTATATAACTTTATAATATTCCTTTTCTATGTTTTACAAATTATTACTGTTATTAATTTTTTTATATGTTCGTTGCATTATTATCTTTTTTTTTTAAGTTAATAGTTTCTCATATTGTTATCTTGTCTCTTAGCCCTGATGAAGGCCTGAATATCGGACCGAAACGTCGGCGGAATATCATTCATTTATTTTTAATGTGTTATTTTTTGACTGAACACCCTAACCAACTTCTCTTCAATGTATTTACGTTTTATTTTAAAAACGAATAAGTGCAGTGAAAAATTAGTTGCAATAAAAGGTCAAGGATTGGAAGGAAAGCCATTTTCATATAAGGGAAACCCTGAGGAGACATTTACAGACCAAGAAGCCGCTGGTACATACTAAGTAGCTTTCCCTGAAAAAAAGGAGTTGCAGAGGGACTACCACCGAGGCCCCGATGTTAATTGTCTCCAGAGTCGCGGGAGTGATTTGTCATTGCTGTGACGTAGGCCGGAGAGATAAAGGGCCCATTAGGCCGGGCTAATCTCTCCCTCGCTCCTTATCCCTCCTCGGCGAGTTATTGGGAGGGCTCCCTCCCGGCCCACGCCTCGCCGCTATCTGGACAATACTTGTCATCGGGCTTTATAGTCGTCATAGCATTAGCTTTGCAAATTAGTGCTTTTAGTGGTTTTAGTTTTTGTGGTTTTAATCTGATGGAAGAAGCTGCAGCATTAGTCAGTGGGGCCGTGTATCGTTAATCATTGGCAGGCATACAAGGCCTTGTACTTACATGGGTATCTTCAACCTGCCGCCATTGTTCCCCGCGTCCTCTTATTGCACCCTCTTATACGGCCAACGAAAAATCCTACTGTGCTATTACACTATCGACCAGCTTGTACAAAAAGTCGGTGTCTCTCCTGAGGAGAGCTTGTGTTCCTCCAGAGTGCTTACAATAGGAAGAGTTCCAGGCCGGAGGAAAGGTCCGTCCTATGTTTTAAGAACAGTACCGCAAAATAAAATACACTTAGGTTCACTTTGATAAGCGACCTATATAACAATAAAATATCCTAAATGTCGGTTTATTGCCCTCGAGCGCATTTTTGATAAAACTACACTTTTAACAACGTTTTTTAGAATTTCTACCTCGTTTATCGAAACAAAACTATTGTAAGATCATATAGTCCGGCCAATGAACGATTATAGAAGGTAATGGCGGAGATACAATTTTGGACTTTGTGATATTATTTGGACTAGGTAAACTTTGGACTAGTAAGTATATAATGTAGGTAAACATACTAAAAGATCTTGGTGATGAGGCAAATGGGGGGAGGGGAGGGAGGTGGTCTATAAAGTCACTTTTTGGGGTTTTCGCTCATATCAAGAAAATTATTCATCATATCGATTAAAATCTGATACAATTTGCAATATGATTAGCAAATTTGTGAAAAAAAAGGCTCATGTTTATTGTTGTATTTCGGGTTACACTTCGGGCCATCGCATCGATAAAGACGTTCTATACAAATTTAAAGCTGATAAAATTTGCAATATGATTGGTTTAATACTTTTTTTGCTACTTCGTTTAGGTTCTGAGATATCCGTCCTCAACTATATCTAATTTGGAAAAAAAAAATGTTATCTCATGTTTTTTACTGTATTTGACAAGCTAACTGTTGGTTGCTTCGTTCAACGATTACGTCGTGGGGAAGAAACTTTTGCAATAATTAAACTTTCTTCAGGAATATATATTATTTTACTAGTGTATCTGCAACGGTTCAAAAGTTAGATCTGAGAATTTGATCTGAAATACTTACAGGAGTTTCTCCTCTACAATAAATATTCTTTAGTTGGTCCATGGTGTGATATCCATAGCTCCTATCTAAATAAGTTTTTATATTTATAGAATTTTTATTAGGTTAGCTCTCTGTTTATGTTTTAACATAAAAAATCAATTCATTTTCTTCACTTTAATTTTTCTTTTTCATCAGATTTTGATATATATATATATATATATATATATATATATATATATATATATATATATATATATATATATATATATATATATATTTTCCCATTACAACTATTATGGAATATTACAAATTAATCTTGCGACTTTATTTTTATTCCTTATTTGTATACATATTTTCATATAAATTACTGCATGTACATTGTTAGAATTTCTATTAGTTAATTTTTGGTTGGTCAAATATATGTACATATATATATATATATATATATATATATATATATATATATATATTATATATATATATATATATATATATATATATATATATATATATATATATATATATATATATATTGTTTATTTGTTGATAATTGTTATTCTTACAGAAGTTGGTGCAAGAATAAAGTTTATTAAAAAATAAATAAATAATACCAATTTAGTCTGGGAAGACATTTTAATGACCTAAGACCTTAATGATAATGAAATAAATAGTACTCCGTAATCATAATAACCTGCATAAGCAGCTCAGCCCGTAAACATATAATCGGTAACCACCCGCTGAGTTCAAGGATCGTAAATACTTTGACATTTTCGCAAGTCATATGGCCTTATGATATCTCAAAGGCTGTAGTTATAGCATCATCTGCTGTCTTAGGACACCATCTCTCATCCCCGTGTCGTAAACAAACCCGTAAAGTTACGAGGACCGTAGCTGCTCCGTGCTGGCGTTGGACACGTAACATCCTTCATAAAGCAGAGAGGCACCGTAGGTGTCCGATGAACAAGAGACTGAGCTTGTTATACCAGTAGTCTTTCGACTTCCATAGCTCCGGACCGACTTATGCAACAGTAAGAGATATTAATTTACAGATGTAAAATATCGTCGCATTAATCATTAAATATTATTTATCATATTCCTTTATCATTGTCATTGTTTCGGGCGGAGCCGTCGTTTATTAATGAAAAAATAAAAAACACTTATTGTAATTTAAGGCTAAAACTTTAGGAATTGCTTCATATTGGTGTAACCGATCCGAATATGCCTAAATCTCGGAGATTGCTAACCGAAAATGCCAAAGAACGGAGAACAATGACCGTGAATCTAAAATACAGCCTATTATTTAAGCTTTAAGGATGGGTACTTTGTTATTAATAAATGTAAGTTCACAACGAAGATTGAAGATACCATTTCATTAATAATTCAATTTAACAACACCCAAAGACTCCTAGAAAATGACGATACCATTTGAATATTTATTGATTTACAGAACTCGTAAGAGTTATGAAACTATTCATCGAGGTTTTTTCTTTTATGAAAGAATATTGTCGGCAATGAAAACAAATTATATAAATTTTTGTCCTATTGAGATTATCATTATTCTACAAGTAAGTGATATAGTATTAAAATGTGTGTAAATATACCAGAATTCCCCCATAGATGGATTTAGTTCTTAAAGTTGTTATCATTAAACCGCAATGTTACCATTTGATGAAAACTACTGCAGAATCGCATCGAATGACTGCACATTGATTGCCTTCATAAATTCGAAAAGGTGCGATTTTGACGTGAGAATTGAATGTCATGGAAAACCACCGAAATGAAAACAGAAAATTTCAAGCATTGTTGTTCAATTGAATGTGACAAAAGGAGCTGCATCCATATGTTTGAGAACCATGGGAGACGGGAAAACAGGTTCCACATTTGCTGAATGAAACACAGTAATTTAAAAAGAAAAATATCAATGTAATAATAAATGCTAATGTTATTAAAAGAAAGAAAGAAAAGAAAATGATATGTCTTTCTAAATGAAGCCACCTTGAGATGAGGTCAACGCTAGCGACACAGATTTGCTCTTTGTGAGCTACCAGGGAAGAAAAACTCCGGAGGCGTGAGGTCACGGGATCTGGGTGACCACGATAGCGGGCTTCCACTTGTTCCTCAACCCTGAATAAGATTATCTCACCGTCACGAGTGGGGCGTAACCATCACGTCGGGGGAGCCGCTTGGTCCAGTCGTTAGCGGCAAATTTTTATGGCGCAATAAAGTTTCGGGTCAGGAGGGAGGCTTAATATGATAGGGTATAGTATAGCGGGTCTGGAATGGATCGACTGAAAAGTGAAACGGACGAGAAAGAAATAGGACAGAAGAAAAATAGCATACGTTCACGCCTAGGTAATCATTTTAAACAGGAATTTGAAACATTTGGCAAGAAAAATCGAATGATCAAATGAATAATTGTGGATCGATGGTTGACTGTAGTGAATAATTGAAGAAAAAATTGGTTGGGGTGTTCAGAAAAAAAAAAAAAATTAAAACTAAATAATAATGTTACCTTACGAGAATCTTTTTGAAAATCTGTCTGACCAGGAGGAGGTCATGAGGACATGAGGAAAATGATGCCTTGATGAAAAGAAGGGATAACAGAGTCTAGAAGGTCATTAAGAACAATATTGGAAATATCTGGTGCTAAAGAATTTCCCATGGCTAGGCCTGAAATCTGATTAAAGAATTTTCCTTGGGAGGTGAGGTATCCGGATCTGTAACAAAGCTCAAGGGATTCAAAGTAGGGGGAGAGGTTAAGGGTGGTGTGAGGTTCGATGATTGTCCAGTTTTTCTGTACAATTTGGAGGACTTTATCTATTGGGATGTTGCTAAATAGGCTTTTGGCGTCTAGGGAAACAAGGATAAAGTTGCCTGGAATATGGAGAGAAGATAACTCTTCTTTAAGGTGGAATGAATTATTAATGTCATGAGGATTATTGTGGCTAAGTTTTTGGAGGCCTGCCTGCTTCTTTTATCTTAATATTCTCCTCATTTTCCTTTTTCTCATTCCTTTATTTTCCATATCCCCACCTCTATTTCTTGTATATTGATATATTTACTCATTAATTTTTATTGTCATTATTTACATAATTTTAATTTTTTGATTCTCTTATATGTAGTCTGTATGATTTGATAGATATTACAATATCATAACTTTTCTATTTACTTCTATTATTTTCATTATATGACTTCATTTTTCCTTTTTTTTTTTACACTCTATTCTATACCAATCTCACTTCCTTTTAGCATCATATTTTTTCTTGTTTCATTATGTTTCTTTCTTTAGTCCCTAAATTTGTTGACGTTATTATTATTTGCTCCATAGTTCTCTGTTACTGTTATTATTTTATTTAGAAGTTCCTAACTTTGTAACCGTTATGTTATAAGTATTAACTTCGCTTCCGCTACTTTCTATCCCTTACTTTGTTACCGTTATTTTATATTTCCTTTAAGTTTATTCTAGCTACATGTTTTTAACCTATACCTTTCACCTACAGATTATTATTTTCTTAATGTTAATAGTTTCTTAAAGCCATTGTCATCTGTTTTTTTCTTAGCCTTGATGAAGACATGACCTTTGCACCGAAACTTAAATTTAAAAAATATAAATTTAATTTATTTATTTCTTCATTTTTTGACTGAACACCTCAACCAATCTTTTCAAATGGATAAGTGATATTTTTGGATGAATTTAAGAAAAGATATAAAGTGATATATTTTTTCCTTACATTTCCATAAATTTAATAGTTGGAATTCAGAACTGAGTTGGTAAAGATCTCAAGAAGGGACACGTTAGCGTTATTATATTGATTTGGGTTAAGACTTCTCGGAATCAAAATGTATCACTTTCCACTCCACACATGTTCATCGTCTCCACGATGGCAAGTTTTCATTCCAACTACATTAAATAGTTAATGATTACAAATCAGTTAAAAAATAATACAAACATTAAACTGACAACTTTATCTACAAACCAGAAATTATTAAGAATAACAACTTCATTAAAAGTGATATTTGAGATCTATCAACTGGTAAATCTTAGGTAAATATTATATTATGAATTTAAAAAAAAATAATTTATTAAGTTATATAACATTCTGTCAGAATGTGACTTGAAAATGATATATTTATAAGTAGAAAGGAATCATCTTCAATGAATCTTTAAACAATTATCTTGTATCTCCTCTAGATGCTTATCGAATCAGTGTAAAAGTAACTCTTGTCAAACAATAATTTATCTTGTCCTTTAAAAAATAAACCTGCAGCAAATTCAACAGAGAATAAACCAGAAGGCACATAGTTTACGAACAAATAATAATAACAAAAAAAAAAAAGAACTCTGGAATGGTAGACCACCCTGGACCACAGTGGCGACACTGAAAGAATATGAACGACATAACCAGGAACAGACCTGGTTCCCACGGAGTACGAAGAGAGCGGGGTATGTCCCTGCGATGTCGCCGACGATAAGGTCCTCTGGAGATCTCCAAGACATGACTGCAATCCAGATGGAACGGTCGCAACAACTATAACGGAATCCTAAATTTTTGGCAGAGTCTGCCCATAATTTAGGAGAATTTTCAGGAATGAAGAATGTAACTCCGGCATTTGATGGCATGCCTAGCCATTAAATCCCTCGTTAAAAAGATGTCCAGGGAAGGAGTCATGGGAAAATAATTATTGGTGAGGAATGCTAATGTATAATAAAAATTTTATAAAAGTGGACAGCAGCTGTATATATTTCGAAACCCTTGCCAACATGTGTTGTATAACAAACTTATAAAAAGACAACACAAAAAAATCAGAGATTCCAATTAAAAACTTATAACATCTTTACTAGTACGTTTTCATAATAAGAAAAAAAGTTACATAAGTTATGCTCACAGTACCAAGAAGATTCAAAGAATTCAAGAAGAAGAAAATAATTTTTCGATTAACCGCGACTCACAAGCTCCAAAAAAACGAAAAGAAGACGAGAATGAAGGTGGTTGAGAGATCTGTTTGAATATTCATATAAATTTATCTTATAAGATTTCAAATAATTTCTCATATTTTTTTCTTTGATAAATGCAACCATAAATGGTCTCAAATTAAAGATTTCCCTCAATCGTAAACCTACGACATCTTCCCCTACAATATGTTTCAATAACATTCCACTCGTTGCAGTTGAACAAATCCGCTACCTAAAATTCCAATTGGATAAACGTCTTACTTGGAATCAGTATACAAGACTGAAACGACAAGAAACTGCTCGACGTTTCCGACTGCTCCAACACACTAGACAAACGCTCTAAACTTTTAATTAACTATATAAGGCTCATGTACATGATAAGGCATATATGGACAAACGGAGTTGACCTTTGGGGCTCCATCAACCATCGAATTCATTTTTTATATAGTGTTAACCAAGACGAGACTTGGTCTTGCAAACCCAGTCTTGGTCTAGGTCTTGGTCTTGCTCAAAACTCTTGTAACAGTCTTGTAGTTACCTATTAGCTTATTACTAGAGAGATATTACTGTAATTAGAGATGAGAAACCTAACTCCGACCCAAGTCTGAATGAAAAATTAGAAGAATTAAATGTAAAAGTATATTGGTTACACCAATTCTTTAAATATGATAACTAAAATTGTCAAATATAGTAAATATTTTTCCTCAATTTTTATTAGGTCTTGCAAAGTGCAAGACCAAGACCGATTTTGGGCAACACTAATCTTATCCAATCCTTATAAACAAAATTCTTGATAATTCCTATTTTGTCACAAATTTAACCATTCATAAAGACCTTAATGTTTCATACGATTTAGCCCGAGCAAGATATATATCATTGCATGAAAAACCCCAGTCCAATCCGAATCCACTTGTTTCCAGCCTTGCTTCTTCCTGGAAATTCCAGATAATCATCCTAGGCGTTTGTAAGGAAGTTGGCTTCGTGATCTTCTTACTTAGACCTATTTATGGAGTGATATCATTGGAGAGTGTCTCCACAAGTCTGTTTATGTCATTACTTTTGATTGGTTCATATTTACTAGTTGTATTTATTTTACATAGTTATAAATTTCAATTGGTTATTTTTTAATCGATACATTATTTTAGTGGGAAATCTTTTTATCATTTTCTGTATATTTTACCGTTGCTATTTTTATTTATCATTAAATACACACACCCTCAAACATCAACTTAACTCTATTAATTTCCAAATTGTCATTACTTAAATAATTATATATTAGTTAATTATAACACTAGACTAATAAATATCGCTCAAAAACGTTTCCTCACCTATGGTCTTGATGGTTCGGAATGAATTTAAAAATATTTTCTTTAACTATTATATTTTATCCTCTACGTATTTTCGTATCTTAGCTATAGACAACGGGCTTACGTTCGACAATAATTAATACGTAAAAATAACCTACACGTATTTATATTTTATCTACACATTTTACATTTTATTATAAACTTGAACCTATCGGAACAATCAGCAAACAATATTTTTAACTAATGAAAACAACTAAAAAAACAGCGAAAAACATTGCTATACTAACTATGACGAATGTAATATGAATGAGCATAAAGATCGATAATTAGTTAAAAGGGTCAATCTATAAGTTGTGAAGGCGTAAGTAATTAGCATACTCTCACCTTCTATCAATAGGTCAACTGAATCATTCACGGCGTAACCAAGGATACGATGCTTGAACTGTAATGCTTATAACTGTAAATAGTTGAACGAGTAAATGTCAATACTACTAACAGTAAATAACTGTACATGTACATATCGTGGCAGATAATCTTGTAAATGGTATATTATTAGAATATACACATAATATATATATATATATATATATATTTATATTCGTCTAGGAACGAGGAAATAACTTCTGTTGATGGTAGGGACAAAACAGAAAAAAGAAATAAAAATAACTAAAATCTTCAATACAATAATGATTTAATTTTGTTAATAATAAGATACTTTAAGTTGGAAAATCGTGAGGAAATCAGAAGGATAAAATACCTAACCATCGATACAATACCAAGATATCTGCCAATAAAAAGTATTTCGGTTTAAAAAAAATTATAAAACATTTACTTTTATGGGAAAATTCTTAAAATAAAACAAAATCTGATTTTCACAAACGGTAGAACTAAATCCAAAGAAAATAGATGCAGTCATTCTCATTACTTAATATAAGAAAATCAAAATAATCTACAATTTTTTTTTTTTTTTAAATCTTTTTATTGAGAAATAATACATTTTGCCACATTTAAGGGCACTGAGTACTAAAGCTGAGTGAGGCCCATTCATACTATACATACAATGCAATAAAAAAAATAAATAAAAATATATATCTATATAACAAAGGTAAAAACTATAAAACTAAAGAAATGTAACTTGAATTCAAATTAAAAAAAAAAAAAAATACAGAATTTACAATTTAGAACACACAAAACAAAAATATGATAAAAAAAACTAAGTTTTCCTAATAAAACTTCTGAACACTTAAAAAAAAAAAAAATACTATTCCGTGGTACAACATACGCCCTTTAAAAAACAAAAGATTAACATCCGCCTGAAACATTGTAAATAGCTTCATCTCATTTTAAGCTACAACTATTTTATTTATGAAAATTATTGTAATTGGAGCGTTTTCAATCTGGAGATGGGCAAACTTTGTATATTTAATTAGGTAGAAAAAACTCGTAATACTCGTTTGCTTTTCACTTAAATCTTAAGATAATTTGATCACAAAATAGTTGAAAAAAGGTGGCCTGCAAAAATATTGCACCGTTTGCCGTATATGTATATATACATATATATATATATATATATATATATATATATATATATATATATATATATATATATATATATATATATATATATATATATATATATATATATATATAATAAATAAATAAATAATAGAAAAATTACACTTTGAAACAAACATTGTATTAAACATTTCACAATGATACATGAAATATGATTCAAAATATTAATAAGGACGAAGATCCACGTAAGCGTTCCGTTTTATTATGATAAAGGAAAAAGGAGAGACTGAGAGGGAAGGGAGGATTTTATTGGCAGTTAGGAAGGGGATGATCCTCCAATAGGATCTCATCGAGAAGAAATATTGGCCAATCAGTTTTCATGGCGGGTTTAACAGGGGCCATACGCTTTCATAACTCGGCATAGTGACAGCGTGTGTGAGTGTGTGTGTGACAATATGTGATTGTAGTGAGCGGTTTAGGGCCGGACACAAATGTGAATCTCATTCATATGTAGTCGGTGTCAACTAACCCATTTAGGAGCACTTTGTATGTCGTCAGTCCCTGCTACGTATGGACCACTCTCTAAATCGATAGCTGGGTGTTGTTTAGTGAGTGGGTATATGAAATGAAGTGAGATGTTTTGCATATTACGTATAATTAACCTAATGAAATATTTTCCTAAAACGTGTTATTTAAAACCTGCGAAAGAAAATAATAATTCTCATGAACATTTCTCTAACTGATCATTAAAAAAAACTACAAGTATAATAAAGAAGAAACACAGTATAATCAAGAATACAAAGCAAAAATGTTTGAGCAGAAGAACTCCATAACTAAGATCATATTTTCCTATTTCTACCTGAGGAAATTTATTGGAGTTTTAATGCGTTACAATTTATTAGACAATTTTCAAGTAGTTATGTGTGGTGTGTGTATAGTGAAAAAAATTGTTCACAAGAATTTACTTATGTTTTTAAAGTATTTTCATATTTAGTTGAGTAGATAACTATTATAATTTTCAAACACCCATCAGGATTCTTTTTGGTTATTTTTTAAAATATTTTTCGAACTAAAAAGAAGGTGTTAGACATTTTTTTTGTAACTTGTAAAGCAAGTTCAAAACGTCATATCTCATACGTCAAATACACACATAACAAATGTATAAAGTAAACGACATATAACAAGTTTTATTTTCATGTTTCAGGAATCTAAAATATTTTTGAATTTAATATCGAAATTTTTACAGCCCTTTATGACCCTACGTTCAAAATAAATATACTTTTTTAAAAAAAGAATCACAAAATTTCTTAATTAAGTTAATCTACTTAATTTTAACGCGACTTCTGTATAAATATATATTTTTTTATATCTCCAAAAACTAGATTAATTGTTTTACAGATAACTTATGGAGTTCGTGAAGTTCTCTAGAATATTTTAGTTGGCAGAATATACATTTTTCATTGTTTTCATTAAATAGTTCAATTAAAAAAAAAATAGATTTAGTGCATGTCCCTTACTCGTCCAATTGTACTTCGTATTGATTTTATCACAGACGAACATGAAACCAAATCAGTGCCTGAAACGTGAAAACGCGAGTGGAAATTTTCGATCCAGAAGATAAAACATTTAATATATATCATCTCCACGTGAATAAAATGTTTACCTACTTTTGGTAGTGAGGAGGCAAAATACAAGCTAATATCCATTAAAAATATTAATAAATAAACATCAAGTGAACACAGAGTAATGAATACAAATAAAATGAATAAAGAACTGTAAAAGACAAATCTACAAAAATTATCTATAGTAGGCTGGTAAAGAAAAAACAAAGCAAGAAATAATTGG